TAACGGATTGCCTTTTACGGGACATTTTTTTCAGGATGGCAGGATTGATTATGGGGAATTTGTTGCTATGATGACAAAAGGCAATGCTGGTGTTGGGAGGCGAACGATGAGAAACAGCTTAAATATAAGCATGAGGGATGGTTCAGGAGCTCTTTAGATTCTACTTCAACTCGTCACTCGTCACAGGTCTGTTATATGTAAGCCAAGATTACTCCTAAAATCTTAGATGGATAGTAAATATTCGATTTATCATTCTTAAGGTGTTTCATTAGGATTTATCATAGTTTACTGCTCCTGCGAATGCTTTCTTAGGCATTCTGTATCTTGTACAAATGCTTTCAGATGCTGAACGATAGCGTGAAATCTTTAGAGCTCAACCTTGTAATAATAGTTGCATCTTTCTTTCTATGTTGTCTTGTTAAATTTTATTTTTCCATTATCAGGTCTCCATTGAAGATGGGACACTCCTTTCTGATCTTTATCCATCAACACTCGTGTACAGAAAAGTCTGTAGGAGGCTATGTGATGCTTCTTTCTGGAGTACATATTTTTTAGAAAAAAAAAAATGACTATTCAAACGAGATAAACTAAAACCGAGTTCTTGTAGTTGTATTTGCTTGTGTAACTAGTGAGATTGTAAAACATGTTTGTGATTGTGTATTGCTGGATGAAAGAATGGTGTTTTTTCTTTAAACTTTTGTTAATTTCCACTTCATGATTCTTGTACTCTGCTTTGCAATGCTATTATTTTGTGATTAGTTTGTTCTTTCGAAATAAGTTTTTACTTCAGAGTGGAAAGACACGTATTGAATATGATTCTACTTGCAAAAGACTTTTTTTTTTTTTTTTTTTTCTTTAGAATTGGGCACAATGAGTACGGTTCATGCACAAGGGCACACCGTACCTAGACGAGCAAGATAAATAGTTCTAAATCAGTAAATCAGCTCAAAAAACAGTAGTGTTTATCATTAAATTGGATTAAACATGGTACAAAAGTATGAAACTATGTGACAGTGTACATATATGTATACATAATACTCACCAGCAGCAGCTAAAATCTCATTTGAGACGATAAAAAACTGCACTACTTCACAGTTGCAGTTTCAACTGCTAATGCAATTTCCTGCACGACAAAAGCACTAACCGTAAGCCAGCAAGTACGTTTTTTTATTCCCATGCCTCAACCAAAACAGCATGACATTCATCATTTCCAAGTAAAGCTAGTAAATTTGAGAAAAGTAGGGGGAAAAAAAAAACCCGAAAGCGAAGATAGTATATAACTATCTATATATATATACCTTGAGCTGTGCATTCGAGAAGGTACATTTCGAAGTAATTGCTCGTCCCTGATCCAGCAACCATCCCACTTCAAAGCAAATTGTTCCACTTTCAGCTTTCTTGACTGAACACCAAAGCTGCTTAGGAAGCAATATAAGGTCCGATTCATCTCTAATCGTCTCACTCACGCATTCATCACCAAGCTCCTTGACCATCGTCTTTTTTATATAAATTGACCAACACGCCAACAAACAAACAAACAACAATCAGTCTGGATTACAAATGATAAGAAGAGAAAATCCATAATCCTTCCGAGCACAAGTCCTTCAAGTCTATAATTTTCAACATTTTCACAATTCCAGGCAAAATGTATGAACTCGATAAAAACGTAACATTACATTGTGTGAAGCTCGAAAGTCAGCAACTGAAGTAAGGCCTTCCCAGACCAAACCGGAGACTTGGGAAGAATCGAGCGGCCGAGTGGCGGCAAATGCCGAGTCACGAATTGCACAGCCGCCCAACTGATCACCGTTTCTAAAGGGACCGTACCACTGCTCGACAAACACGCTCAAGCCTCTCAACTCAACCGAACCATCCTGCCCGAGCCCAAGGGCTTGAACGACCCTAACCCGAGACTCCCGGTTGCTTGGATCGATCAAGCAGTGCTCCAGCTCAGCCGCCGGAGACTCGCCGGAGAGTGGGGACCACAGCGCCACATAGGATCCGGTGGGCCGGTGGTAGGCGAAGGCGAAGGTGGAGGTGGAGGTGGAGGACACGTGTCTCTCCTGGATGGAGTGGGTAGTGGCAGCATCTGCTTCGCAGCCCACGGTGGGCAGGAGTTTGATGGTTTTGTAGAAAAATGAAGGAGGCTCATCTCCGGCGTTGATTTTGTGGGGTTGAGCGAGAGTTGGGCACTGTGTTTGCCAGTCAAAGACCTCGACTTCCCATTCACGGAAGGCCTCCGGGACAACAGACTCCGGCAGATGTACGGGTTTACCTTCCACCGTGAAATCTGCCCCGAACCCGTCCCATTCGCCTGATATCTTGTCGGAGAATTCCGGCCAGCCGCCGCCGACGCCGCTTCCTTCTGAACATGAACAAATTCAATTGATTTAGTAG